AACTGCACTTAAAATTCTAGTCTCCCGTTGTTGATTCAGACAAGGGCTTTTATATGGGAAAACAGTGAGTAGGGTATGCCTTTTGGTTTAAAAATTTTTTGATTTACTTTTTTTTAATGTATTTATTATTTAACCTTCTGAAATGATTTGTTGTAAATCAGGTGTTTAGTTTATTTGTTTATTGATTGGTTGACTGACCGGTTCTGCTTGTTTACAGAAAGTTTGGTTTAAGTTGGAGCCACACAATAATTAAAAAAAAAATGAAAATACGTAGCTTTTTTCTTTTCTATAACGTGCAGTTGCCCTTTGGTCTTTTTTGACACCGATTTATTGACATACAGTTTTTAGGTCTGTTGTTTTAATAAACATGTCGCTATTTAACAATTAATTATGACTTATTGTAGACAATATATATTTCTGTATAAAAACTGCATAAAATTGCCAACTTAAAATAAAAATAATAATCTACAGATGAAGTTTGCAATTTAATATCTAGGTCTGTTGTTTTATTAAACGTTCTGCTGTTTAACAGTTATTCGTGACTAATCATGTACAAAATAGTACTGTGTTTATATGCATTACGTATACACTTGAAGTCAGAATTATTAGCCCCTTTTTAATTTTTTTTTCTTTTGTAAATATTGTCTAAATGATGTTTAACAGAGCAAGGAAATTTTCGCAGTATGTCTGATAATATTTTTTCTTCTGGAAAAAGTCTTATTTGTTTTATTTCGTCTAGAATAAAAGCAGTTTAAAATTTTTTAAACACTATTTTAAGGACTTTAAATATTAATTATTAGCCCCTTTAAGCTATATATATTTTTTTTGATAGTCTACAAAACAAACCTGTACAATACAATATTATACAATAACTTGCCTTTTGTTATACAATAACTTGCCTTTTATTTTGTATGCCATAAGTAGCGATTAATCGTTTAACGGCTCTAAATAAATATATTAAAACGACTCTTTTAAGTTGGCAATTTAGTTTTTAGGTTGGTTGTTTTAATAAACATAGTGCTGTTTAAAGAGTGATCGTGACTAATTGTGTACAAAATAGTATTGTTTGTATTTAATACATAAATGCACACACGTACATTCTGTAGGTGTATATACTTAATATTTATACATGTATGCATATTTATATCTCATTTTGTTACATATAAATATTTTATAAATATGAATGAACATTTTCTATACCTGTATTTACATATATGAATATTTTTAGATATGTATAATAAATATATACGCAGTACACAGAATATTATTTAAACGCAAACTTTTGTATGTGATCAGTAGCTATAAATCGTTTTATAGCGGCAAAATAAATGCGTATTTGTATTTCAAACTAAAATTGAACTACCCTCTTTTTATAAAGTGTTTTGTAATTAAAGAAATATATTATTCTAGAAAATGCTTTTTACTGTGCGCTATAAAAGTATTCATTCTCTTTGGAAAAGCATTCATAATGCTGTTATGTTTATTACAGTAAATTAAAATTTCCTTCTATTACTGTGTAGAGAAAGCATAAAGTACAGATTTTGACCTATACAACATGCCTGTAAAATGTCTGTAATGCTCTCTCATTCCTGAATTAAACAACGCTATTGAACAAATCATTTAAGAGAGTGATTCAATGACTGATAATGATGATTATATAGTCTTTGACCATGACATTTCTAGATTTACTGTTAATTACACCCCTATACTTTAAAGCTTAAAAATAGAAAAAAAAACTATTGTTTTTTACTGATTTGATGGTAATAATTGCAGCAATTCACTTTTACAGCATTTATTGGAACCCCAGAGGCCATGTATTATGTGTATTGTGCTGTTTTGATCAACGGCCAGTTAAACAACACTTCTCAGCATCTCATAATCTAATTGAGGAATTCAAGCTTGGTCCATTTACATCTGTTGAAACGCACTAAAATGGCTCTCAACTGATGATGACCAACAAATGTGGTGCTTGATTTGTCAAACAGCGGGTTGTCCATTGAGAATTGATTCACCCCATGACCAGAAACAGTGGATGGTGATTTTTTTTACTGACCACTGCAGCAGATCTAGTTGTTACTGTTTACTGAGCTGGAGGGTCGTGCCATTTACAGCACACACCGGCTCAGCGTCCTCCTCCGCAGCCATCAGATCTGCTGTACTGCACCTTTTATCTGTGCTTCTCACTCCACGCCATCTGGATTATTTGTGTGTGTGTGTGTGTGTGTGTGTGTGGTGTGGTGGACGACAACCACAGGGTCAGTGCGATAAAGCTGCGGTGTTGTTCTGTTGCTGGAGCACACTGAGGGAATGGTGGATGTAGAAGAAGGTCAGATCAGCAGTGATTCAGAAAGCCATGTGCTGGTTTTGAAAGCAACCCACATTGTGCATTCAAACTCTTCAAGCATGCGGAGTGATGCGTTTTGTGGTCTTAAATGTGTCACCGCACAAGCCAAGAGCCACTGCTTGATGTGTGAAGAAAACAATCTAATAGTGTTCAATATATTATTTACATTTTATCTCCTTGTGCATTTGGGGTTGATTGGGAATTATGTTGTTTACATAAAAGAATACATTTAAAGAATAAAACGTACTTGATATCCATTGTGACCAAACATTTTTTATTTCATTTGATTGCTTATGTCATCTTTATCGCAATATAGTGTGCATACTGTGTGTAGACGATCTTAATCCAGCATTTCTACGATTCTGTCAATCATATTTTTAAGTAGAGAAGCAATGGTGGCCACACAAGTCTTCACATTGTTTTACATACATTGTTTAGCAATGTGGACACCTCCAACTGTTGTTAAAAGAGTCACATGCTGTATTTATAAGATATAATTCAGCTGTTACCACAGAGGCGGGCGCACCCATTGAATGAAGTTTACTTTAGCGAACAGACTCTGCATAGGCTGTGAATAGCTAATAAAGTTGTAAATAACATTCAGTTTGTGGCACAGATTGATCGTTTGGGAGCCGCGCAGGAAGTAAACCGCTCTTAGCAGTGAAAATGAAACTGAAAGCGCACACAGTGTTGCCAGATGTAGCTGACTGATTCCAGCCCAAAAAGTATTCAAAACCCGCTATATTGCAAAAATACCCACCCAGTCTTCTGTATTCACGAAATCACGTCAGTGACAGATTTTAAGCAGAAAATTACAGATTGTAAGCATATGTCTCATACACAATAATTCAACATCATCAGCATTAATGACCAGGACAAATCAGAAGTCTGTTCAAGTCCACCATTCCAAGTCTATACAAAATTTAGCATTTTAACCAACAGAACAACTACACAAAGCCTATTGCTGTTTTTCCACATGTTTAAGAATAACAATATTAATTGCCCACTCATATTAACCTTTATTTTATATCTTCGGAATTGTGAGAAAATCTGGCTAAAATTCTCATTTTTGCCCGAATCGTGCAGCTCTAATCGCAGGAGTTGTTGAGTTGACCAGTTGACCAGAATCCACAGGCCAAAACAGATGAGATTTGTGGAGACATAGCAGAATTTATCTATTATAGAGTGAAAGTTTAAAATTTCCATGTGTTTTTAAGGCCTGGGTGAACATTTTTAAAGCATTTTAAAAAAACATAAAGATCATAAAAAAGTTTCAAAAAATCCATCTATGTAGTGCTCTTTTGCATTTGATTATTCAATTGTTGTCCCGGAATACTGTTAGACACTCCCCAGAAAACCATAAATGACTGTTTATTTCACTTTTTTTTTTTCACAGATTTGCTCAGTTGTGTTTATTTATCACTGTAGTTTGTTTATTATATGTATATTATAAGTTACATCTAATATTTATATTTCACTCCCACACAAATCATCCTAGTCAATCTAAAGTAATGACTTTCCAAATAGAGCTATTTAAATCTTCTGGTGAAATTTATATTGTAAATAATGCATATTGCTGGAAAAAAATAATGCAATTGCAATGAGATCAGAATTAAAAGTCCCTCTTTGTTTTTCCTTTTTAAATATTTCGCAAATGATGTTTAACAAAGCAAGGAATTTTTTCATATGAAATTTCATTTATAATGTGATAATATTTTTTTCCTCTGGAAAAGGCTTTTTTGTTTTATTTCCGCTAGTATAAAAGCAGTTTTTAATTTTAAAAAAAACATTTTACGGTCAAAATTATTAGCCCCAAAGCTATCTATTTTTTCAATAGTCTACAGAACAAAGCATCATTCTAAAATAACTTGCCTAGTTAACCTATTTAACCTAGTTAAGCCTTTAAATGTCATTTTAAGCTGCACAGAAGTGTCTTGAAAAATATCTAGTCAAATATAATTTACTGTCATCATGGCAAAGATAAGATACATTTATTAGAAAGAGTAAGTAAAACTATTATGTTTAGAAATGTGTTGAAAAAATCTCTATGTTAAATAGAAATATATGTATAGAAATATATAGGGGATAATAATTCAGGGGGGCTAATAATTCAGACTTCAACTGTACTGTATGTCCTGAAGTCATTTACAATTCCTACTCATTTTTTTCTGATTGCTGGAACCTTCAAAAAATTTGTTGCAATCTTTCTTCTTGCTACAATCATTGATGTTCTCTAATTCTGATCACTTTGTTTTCCACTAAGTAATGAAACATGTGCCTTGGTTATTTTATTAAACAAAATGATAAAGATTTAACTAGATCTATCTTTCTGTATGACTGTCTTTCTGTCAGTATATGGCCTGTCATTCTAAATTACAAATAAGTATAAATAGTTTGGATTTTTGTTTCAATAAGACGTATTTTATTTCTTTATACTTTACCAGTACAACCTACTTCTAGCTATTACCAAATTATTTAACACCATTCTAACCATTACAGAGAGTTTACAGTGTGTTTTTAATGCGGAAGAGTACTAATAATCTTGTTCACTGTAATATACTGTTAATGTGTGTCTGTGTTTTGCTTTTCTCTTAATCAGTAGTCACAGCATTATTATATTGTGAGTGGATTAAAAACTTTTGTTCTTTTTCTCCAGGTCCAGATTCATCAGCTTTTGTCCTCCTTGTCCATCAGGTGCTGGAGAGCCTCAGGTAGAACTGACGAGCTGACGGTACGTGACCTCTCTCTCTTTTTCTCTCTCTCTTACATGAACAACACTGTCCCGAGCAGGTTAGGCAGGGGTCACACACATAAATCAGACTTACTCAAGACCACCAGCCCATTCTCTGGTCTGTTCACGCGTGTTTATTTTCAGTTCAGGTTTTATGGCTGTGTAGCTCGCAGAAACTCTTCCCTCACTGCTTATTTTAGGAGTAATTAGTACAGGGTGGTCTGGATGCATTTCAAGTTTTGTGGTTTTAGTTGGTGTGAATGTATTTGCCCCCACATTGTTTTCTGTTTGTTGATCATATACGTGCAGTAATGCCATGGTTTATACCCTTAAAATTGCACATGGGCATTTGAACAGTTTGAACAGGTTTCCAGTTTGAATTTAAGAAGGTTTGTTGGTTTACAGGCTTAAAATGATATGTTTTCAATAAAAAATGGAAATATAAATATATATATATATGGGTCAATGACGTGACGCTCATTTTTTTGTGTCCATGTCTTTTAAATAAATTCAAGTAGGTTCCAGTTTCAAAATAAATAAGCAAATTACTTGCATACATTCTCTATTTTGAGGACCAAGTTTAATTTTTTGGTTTTAATCCATTTTAAGAAAATTTTTAGGGGATTATTGCAAGAATGTCAATGTGGTGTAACCAAAAAAAATTGGTACCAAATAGTTTACCTTGTTTAAAAAATGTGAAAGCCTCAATGAAACATTGTATCGGCTAGTCTGGCATAATTTTACATTAGACATATTTAATAGTAAATAAAGGTAAATATAGCACAATTGTTTTAAATATTATAATTCATTTGGGGAATTTTTTCTGTCACCTCAAATTTCTGAAATGTCAAGATGGTGTAACCACCATTTATTGAGCCATTTTGTTAATATTGTGCACAAGACAGTTAGACAGGAAATTGAATCACAGAGAAGAACTCTTGATAAGACTAATTGCTGCATGCAAAGGTTAGTAACTCTTTTTAAAATGTGAGATACTTTGACCTTTTTAAGGTATGGTCAGCTATTCTTAGATATGCATGTCAAATGGTAAGACCCCAGAAATGCACTGATAATTGTTCATAATTATAAAAATAAGTATTATATTTAAAAGTTAAATTTGAAATATTCCCACCAAGCCCATGTGCTTACATAGATGTTATTGATAATGCCTGTCAAATTTCATTTTAAGTTGAAATGTCAAGGGGTGTAACTGGTTACACCATTTGACTCATATAGCAGGAGTCTTTCTGTCAGGGGTAAATTTAGTCAAATATCATTAGTTCATGATGCTGATCAAAAATGCGACATAAATTAAACTACTATTTGTGTTCATAGTGTAGATTATTTATTTATTTTTGTTTGAGAAATAGGTGCTTAATCCACAACCTTACTATTAAAGCTTTGTAAACATAGGATAAAATTATTTTACTGCACAACATAAATGTTTTTTTTTTGTTTATGTTAATCCATGTTTATATTCACACAATATAATGTACACACTCTCTCATTCACACACACATTCATACACTACAGTCAATTTAGTTTTTTCTAATTCACCTATACCGCAAGTCTTTGGACTGTGGGGGAAACTGGAGCTCCCAGAGAAAACCCATGTCAACTCCACACAGTAAGCCATCCTGGTCCATCTTGGACTCAAACCAGCAACCTTGTTGCTGTGAGACAACTGTGCTAACCACATTAGCCACTGTATCACCCTCCTTTGAAATGTTGTAAGTATTTTTTTTCTTCTTGAGAAAGTCTTATTTCTTTTAGTTTGGATAGAATAAAAGCAGTTTTTAAAATGTTTAAGCAGTTTTTAAGGTCAATATTGTTAGCCTTCTTAAATACAGAACAAACCACAGTTACCCAATGACTTGGCCAATAGATCTTACTTGCCTAATTAACCTAATTACATTTTTAAATGTCACTTTAGGCTGAATACTAATGTCTTACAAATTATCTAGTCAAATATTATGTGCTGTCATCATGGCAAAGATTACGGAAGAAATCAGTTATTAGAATTTAGTCATTTAAACTATTTTGTTTAGAAATGTGTTGACAATAATATTCTCTCTGTTAAAGAGCACTTGGGAATTTCTTTTTTAAATAAAAGAAAAAATTTACATGGGAAATGAAACAAGGTTGACAAGCCTCTATAGACTGAGTGCACACAGCCTTAAGTTTTGGAGGTTTTCATACTTGATGCGCTTGCTGTTGTACTATTATTATTAACAACTGGAGGTGACTCGGAGGAACTTTAATGATGAAAAGTTGTGAAGAACAAGTCAGAAGTTGCTAAACAAATGAATTGCAGTTGAAATCAGTTTTGTTTGGGTTTTTTTACAGCATGTCTGATAAAAAATTTTCTTCTGGAGAAAGTCTTATTTGTTTTACTTAGGCTAGAATAAAAGCAATTTTTAAAAGCCATTTTGAGGTAAAAATTATTGGCCCTTTTAAGCTTTTTCCCCGCGATAGTCTACAGAACAAACCATGGATATACAATAACTTATCTAATTACTCTAACCTGCCTAGTTAACCTAATTAAGCCTTTAAATGCTACTTTAAGCTGTATAGAAGTGTCTTGAAGAATATCTAGTCTAATATTATTTACTGTCATCATGGCAAAGAGAAAATAAATCAGTTATTAGAGATGAGTTATTAAAACTATTATGTGTTGAAAATGTGTTGAAAATATCTTCTCTCTGTTAAACCGAAATTGGGGAAAAAATAACAGGGGAGCTAATAGCTCAGGGGGACTAATAATAATTCTGCATAATTCTGAAGTTAACTGTATAAAATAAATAGTTTGTGGATAAGTTGTGGATACACTCATGAAATTATTTGTTGTCAGTCAGTCGTGTATGCTTACAAAAATTGGCCTTTAATCCCAGCACCAAGGCAACAACGAGTAAGCAGCAGTTCTTACGTACTAGTGATTTACGTACAGTGTTTGGCAAATTGTTTCTAAATAGCTTAAAAGTAAAATAGTGGATTTTTTTCTAATATCATCTACTTATTTTTATTTTAATTAAGCCAACTGAAAAGAAACAGTGATGGAAAAGGTGTTAAATGTTAAACATGTTTCTTTAGTTTGTTAATATTCTATTGATGAGGGCCACACATTTAATGTAAAGGATGTTATTACTTGGTGTATTAAAGTTCAGCAACCTGGTTTCATTGTTCTAAACACATTTGTCAATGACAATCCCACTGAAATTGTTGACTATCATTCTTAATTTGAATTGATTTTAATTGTCAATTTCAAAATCTTTGGCTGTAGAAGCAACACTGTCAGGTGGTGTAACTGGTTTTTGTCAATTGGTGTAACCAGTATTTTACATAAAAATATAATTATGTACATGGAAATAATGTGAAATTAAAATTAAAACACTTAGTTTAGTGTAATAAAATAGTTTTTAACATTTTTTACATAATTTGTCAAAGATTATTTAGAAACCAGAAGTGTTTTTAGCATGTGTCTGGCCGAATATTGCAAAAACTCATTAAAATGTACATTTAGAGATAATGCGAATACAATAAATGTTATTGTGGTATTTTAAAATGAAGTATTTATTTCAGTGTGTACACTTGCATATCATCTAGGAGGAGTACATTTTTTAATATTTCACAATTTTTGGCAGTTACACCATTTGACATTTTCAGTTGCATTCAGTCTTAATGTCTGTAAAAAATGGTGTAAATGTTATTTTTAATTACATAAAATCAACATGAATACAATCTGTACATTTTAAAATATCTGACGGATGCTTTTAAATCAACTTTGTAAAAGATTTTTAAATTTCCCATCTTGCCAAACCTGTTTTGTCACTGACCCATATATATATATATATATATATATATATATATATATATATATATATATATATATATATATATATATATATATATATATATATATATATATATATATACAGTTGAAGTCAGAATTATTAGCCCCCCTGAAGTATTAGCGCTTGTTTATTTTTTCTCCCCAATTTCTGTTCTGTTCTGGGAAGATTGTTTCAGCACATATCTAAGCATAATAGTTTTAAAAACGTATTTCTAATAACAGATTTATTTTATCTTTTCCATAATGACAGTAAATAATATTTTACTAGATATTTTTCAAGACACTTCTATACAGCTTAAAGTGACATTTAAAGGCTTAACTAGGTTAATAAGGTGAACTAGGCAGGTTAGGGTAATTAGTCAAGTTATTGTATAATGATGGTTTGTTCTGTAGATTATCGAAAAAAAAATTAGCTTAAAGGGGCTAATATTTTTGTCCCAAAAATGTTTTTTAAAAAATTACTAACTGCTTTTATTCTAGCCTAAATAAAACAAATAAGACTTTCTCCAGAAGAAAAAATATTATCAGACATACTGTGAAAATTTCATTGCTCTGTTAAAAATCATTTGGGAAATATATAAAAAAAAAAGTAAAAATCAAAAGGGGGCTAATAATTCTGACTTCAACTGTATATATATATATATATTTTTTTTTATTTTTTTTTTTTATTTTTAATCAAAAAGTGTATCTGGATGGCAGGGTTGCAAAGTTAATTGAAATAAAGCTGCAATGACTTAATACTTCCATGTCAGGGCGCCACGCCAAAATTCATCCTGCCATGGCTACATTACAGCTTCTAAATCAAAACATTTTGTTTTTTAATAGCGGGTAATAATCGCACCAAAATGTATTGAAGGCTAAGTGAATTATAACAAACTTTTCTGTTAGCGTAGTAGTGCTCTGCCTCATTTGTTTAACCCTTTAAGGTTACGTGCTGACAGACCGACAGACTGACTGACTGACTGACAGGTGTGTGATGCTAGCAGGCTAGCAAACACGACAAATAGCCATTTCACTTTACTTCAGGACACATTAATACTGCTCGGTAGGTCTATTGGAAACGTTCATATATATTCCTAGCAAATCGAATAAATGCTTGAGACATACTCGTGACATAAACGCACTAAATCGCTCTTCAGTAGCGTTTATT